ATCCTAGGGCCAACCCTCTTTCTTCTAAGAGCGAGCAGCTCTGCAAAGAGTGGCCTTCACATCAGGTGACCACACAAGGAAACCTACCCTCGCCTACAGTGAGCTAGAGAAAGCTGTCTTCTTGGGATCACCAACACTCAACACTTTCAGATTTCTGCCTTTGGCTTTAACAGTCACAATGATGCTGTATCTAGCTCTTGTCTGCAAGTGCCTTCTGTTTTATTAATTGTTTAGGGCAGGAGATATTATCTAATGGACACTTGCCCCATTTAAAAAAAATCGATAAATAATACCTGCCTCAATAAATTACTATGAAGAACAAATGAGAAAGTGTGACGCATTTAATATGGTGCCCAGAAAAGAAGGAAAGTAAGCAAGGAGGAAGAGGAAAAGGAAAAGAAGGAGAAAGAAAGAGGAGAAAGTACATTGATTGACTGGAAGAAGTCAACACTGTTTACTACACATTAAATGCTTCTGGTTATATCCTGCCTAATACCTGGAGGACAGGAACTATGCAAATATTTTAACCCACCTCCTCTTCCTAGAAGATGAAGTTCATGCCATCTCTCAAGATTTAATAACTGATTGTGGTGGCAGAGGTTAAAAAGGATATAGCTGCTTTGCAAACCCAGGTCATGAAGTTCCAGAACTATGCCTCTTCAGTGTCCTGTAAGCAGCAGGTACTCAGCAAATACCTGGTGACTCACCAGGGGGCAGAATGACTCTGGAAGTGAGGATCTCCAGCCAGCAGTACATGTAAGCAAGATGACTTTACAGCCGGAGACACTAAAGCCCAGGGAGAAACTGAGCAAGCCAGGCTCAGACAGTGGGAGAGGACGAAGCGGGAACTGAAAACTCCAGGCCTCCCAGCCCACACGTGGGAGTCACTCTTTCATATCCCCACCACAGCACGAGAACACACCAACCAACTAGTTCTGATGTGTTTCCCTTCTCTAGAGTAGAGCTGCTTTGGCGCTAGAGGAAAACACAGGGGTGGGGGATGACTCTCCACTAAACTAGAGGCTAGCTGACTGGCTCCTGCGAAGAAGACTCTGGCAGTCAGCAGCACGCAAGGATAGGGAGGATCAAGAGAGAGGACAGGGAACCATCATCCAAACGCTATGGAGAGGATCTCAAGGACAGATGTGACATACTTCATTCATGTGTTCAGCAGGCTCTGCCCTGACTCTCACTAGACACCTAAGTGGGCAAACAAATACCTGAGTATGTCATCGGTGACAGCGGGTTATCCCCTCAGACCTTTGATGATTACCCAGAATACTTAGAACAGAGCTTGCCACAACATGGGCCCATATCAAATGATGACTGACTTTTGCACTGCTATGGTTGTCAGTAGCAGGGATGGTCCCATTAAGCAGCCATTCATGAAATATCTCAGCATATCAGATACTGTTAAAAACACTGGGAACAAAAGGTCCCTGCCTTTGTGACAATAACCTCCAGTGGAGGAGACAGACAGCAGACATGTAAGTAAGCCCAAGAATCTCTGGTAATGATAAACACTGGCCCAGGAGCCAGTCTAAGAAAAGCACTCAGCGTGAACACATGGCTAACAAAGGAGGACAGTGTGAGATGCTGGGGAACAGAGCTTTTGCAGAAGGGGCCAAGCTGTCCCGTCACAGGAGGGGGTGGACACGTTTGTACAACAGAAATGAACAAACCCCACAGATAAAGATAAAGACCTAAATACAGCTATGGAGGAGCAGGACTGGCCCCAGCAAAACACAGAGCTAGAACTACACAATGGCCAGATGTATGGTTTAGGGATAGGAGGAAGGCAGCAGAAGGATGGGTAAGAGGGAATGATGGAGGGAAAAAGGACGGGGGGGAAGAAAGGATGAAGGGAGGGAGGAATGGAAGGGCAGTGGGAGGGAGGAAAAGAATCAATGAGAGATTGTAGAGAGCCCTGCCAGAACAAGACCTCAGTGAGGAGGAAAGGTGACCTCAGTGAGGAGGAAAGATGACATCAGCAATCACGATCAACAGATTACAGAGTGGATGGCTCTGAATCCCTCCTCCTTTACAAAGACAAAAATAAAAGAGGCTCTTTTTACCTGAACAAGAACAACTAAATATATAAACAGGAGACTTAAGACTGTATGTAAAGAGAAAAAAAACACCAGAATATCATTGAAACATAAAATCAAGAAGGAATTTAGTAAGAGTTTTAAAATGTAAACCATATGCCAAACAAGATTGACTACACAAAAGTATTTCTCTGACCTCCATACACTGACATTCTCTCTCTCAGCCAGGGCCAATACAGGTATTCACACATAATGACTAGAATCTGGTCAAAATTAGTAAAAAAAATTATATGGACATAAGACATAAAAGAGGACTAAAAAATCAATGAGAAAATAGACAACAGAGGCAGACACACAGGTGCTTCAACTACTGGAGCCATGGGATGGAGACTTTGAGACCATGATGAATCCTAAAGGGACTGAACCTGAATTCCAGTGAAGAATCTCTTCCCGCTGGGCAGCCTTGCCAGGCCACAGAGGAGGACAATGCAGCCAGTCCTGAGGAGACCTGATAGGCTAGGAGCAGGATCTCCCCTATCAGTGGACTTGGGAAGGGCCATGGGAGGAGATGAGAGAGGGAGAGTGGGATGGGGAGAGGTTAAGGGAGGGGGCCACAGCTAGGATATAAAGTGAATAAACTGTAATACATAATTAAAAAGAAAGAAATCTAAAATGTAAAAATAACTGAAATTGAGACACTATTTCATAAGTTTGATAGCATATTAGACATGACAAAAGAGAAGAAACATTAACTAAAAAATAGATCAAGAGAAAATATTCAGATGAAGCAGAGCAGGTGGTGTGCTCCTACAGTCCCAGCACCATTGGGACCCAGGAGTTTGAAACTAGCCTGGATAGGGAGATGTCACTGCAAAAAAGGAAAAAATGGCAATACACAGAGAGAATGACAAAAAAAAAATAAGGAAAGAATATTTAAAAGCCACACAAACACAGTGAAAAGACTATCTATGTAAGCAGAGTCCCAGGGGAGAAAAAAAAAAAAGAAAGAAAGAAAAAGGTTGAAACACAAACAGTATTTAAAATGTTAAAAGGAGTTCCACAAGGAGAGCAACAGAACCAAAAATCTGGGCCCAGGAGTCTTTTTCTAAGACTGATACTCCAACCAAGGACCATTCATGGAGATAACCTAGAACCCCTGCACAGATATAGCCCATGGAAGCTCAGTATCCAAGTGTGTTTCCCTAGTAAGGGGAACAGGGGCTGTCTCTGACATGTGCTCAGTGGTTGGCTCTTTGATCACCTCCCCCTGAGCAGGGAACAGCCTTACCAGGCCACAGAGGAAGACAATGCAGCCACTCCTGATGAGACCTGATAGGCTAGGGTCAGATTGATGGGGAAGAGGACCTCCCCTATCAGTGGACTTGGGGAGGAGCCTGGAAGGAGATGAGAGAGGAAGAGTGGGAGTGGGAGGGAATGGGGGAGGGGCTACAGCAGAGATACAAAGTGAATAAACTGTGTAATACAAAAAAGAAAAATTAAAATTTTAAAAAGGTATTTAAACAATTCTTTTTCAAAATTGATGAAAAGTATCAATCCTCAATTTCAGAAAAGTTGATATATCCTAAAAAGAATCATCAATGAAAATCACACTGGGGTGTTGTATGCAAACTGGTGAAAGCCAAAGAAAGAAAACCATCCTCAAAGGAGCTGGAAGTAGGAGGAGCAGTCTAGGTTTGAAAAGCTACATTATCCTCAGAAGTGCACAATGAAACCTTCAAAAAGTGGACTGACTTGCCACCAGCCAGGAAGAAAGCCTAAGGTCATGGAAGGGTGTGTGTAAACAAAGATCAAGAAAGAAGATAGTTGAGAACCGAACATCAAAGACCCACAACAGTGAACTGGAAAACAGTTCCAAATTAAGCCAACAGGAAGGAGAACAAATGAAGTAATTAAAAACAGCCCAAATTAATGAAAAGATAAATTAATGAAAAGATTCACATAAAGACAAAAAGAGTTCCTAGAAAATATATAAGGCTAATAGGGTGTGAATGTACACACACACACACACTCAAGTGCACAAAGGTGAAAATGACAAATTACTAATATTTTAATTATTACTAATGAATAATTTCAGAAATGAAGCAGAGACATCACTGTGGATCTTACAAACTTGAAAGCGGAGAAAGCATATTTTAACTGTGTAATTTATACCAATAACCTAAATACAGATAAAACTGTCAAAGACCTTGAAAACTGTAACTTGGTCAAACTAACAAAGACTAGAAATTTCTAATTAAAAGCACTTTGATTGAATATATGATTTAAAACCCCCAGAAGTCCTTCCTACTGAGCCCTATCGAGTGTTGAAGGAGAACAGCATCAATCTTATACTCACTCTTAACAGAAGAGAAAGAGGCCAGAACCCAAGGAGGGGGTGGCAACGGGGAAACCCACTGGACCATCTCCTCCATGAATCTATGCACGAAAGTCCTAAGTGGGATATGAATGAATTAAACCTAATGATATCATAGCTACGAGGCTCATTCCAGGTGTAGGACTGGTTGAACATTCAAAACTCAACTACTGCAGAAATCCCCAATGACCTGTTCTGAAAGAATAGAAGTAAAAAACAGGGTTAAAGAAATAAAAGGAGCACCAACACGAAGTCTTTGGGGGCTAATTCCTGAATGCAGGGAACACCTCTAATCCACGTCAGCCAAGCACTGCTCCAGGTGTGTGGAGGGCATCAACTAAAGCCTTGTAAAGCTCAGAAAAGAATGGGGAGGGCGGAGAAGGCCTCCCTGAAGACCTTCCAAAGGTATGACCTCTGGCTCCATTCTCTTCCTGGTTGATTATAATCCTGCCTACCCCACAGGCTTGCAGTGAGAGCACAAGAGACCAAGAGAATGCCATGAAAGCCATTAGAGGCTGGACCCTGTGTGCCAGGTAGTGCTTGGCTTGAAAAGCTCCCACCTTGCTCTCCATGCTCACCTGAGAGATGGGGGCTGGCTACCCTGGCACTTGAACGTTCTTTCCAGCTGCTCCTGGGTCATCCTGGAATTCCCACCAGGCATGTACAGCTTCAAAGGTGTTGTGCTGGTTTCTGTGTGGCTGCATCCCAGTGGGCCTTCCTCCGAAACACTTTTTAGCTTGGGCCTGTCCCTCAGGGACAGCCCTTGGCTGCTGGAAGTGGCATTTGGCTTCTCCGCAGACAGTTCATTCAGCTGGCCCAGAGGGCTCCTGGAGACAGAGTCACTGCTGGAAGCAGGGACCTCCTGTGGACCTGGACAGGCTGGAGTATGCACAGCAGGCTCAGACTGCTGTTGGCTCTCCTCTGGGGCTTGGAGCTTCCTGCTCAAGGCTGAGGACCGTCTCAGAGAGCGTTTGCGGAAAGAATCCTGGAGGGGTGAGAAAAATGGCAGTGAGCATGCTTAGCTAGGAGAAAAAAAAATACTTTATTCCCTGTGATGGTCCCTCCCCAGGAAGAGCTATTCACACCCCAACTCCTTCCTTTTTTCTTTTATTGAAATTATTTTTATATAATATATTCTGATCACAGTTTCCTCTCTCCCTACTCCTCCCAGTTCCTCCCTACCTTTCCTCCTATCCAGATCCACACCCTTTCTGTCTCTCCTAAGAAAACAAACAGGCATCTAAGAAATAATAATAAAGTAGAACAAAATAATCAAATTGGAATAGGACAAAACCAACCAAACATGAGCCAAAGAAAAAGCACAACAAATGCATATAGATGCAGAGACACACACAATTTGGTATGCACTGGAATCCCACAAAACATAAAATAATATATGTGGAAAGGACCTGTGAGGTTAGAAAAAGAAAAAGCCCTAACTTAACATGAAGCAAAGAACTTCCAAGGACACCCTTTCAGTTTGTTTTGTTGTCCATTGACTGCTGGGCATGGAGCCTACCCTTAAAAGTGGTTTCTTTCCCCAATGAGACTCTCTTGGGGAAAAATATTTTTCATCAGGTTTACAGTTAGGAGATGGGGCATGTGTCTACTTCTCCTTTCAGCTCTAGGACTTCGTCTGGGACAGACCTGTGCAGAGCCGCCATGCATGCTGCTCAGTCTCCATGAGTTCATATATGAACCATAGGGGTATGCCTAGAACACCTTGATTCCTTGGTGTCTCCATCCTCTTTGGCTCTTGCATGCTTTCTGCCTCCTCTTCTGTAAGGTTCCCTGAGACCTGAGGGGGCTGATTCCTTCCCTCAACCTATTCTGGAAGGTGCCACTCAAAGCTCCTGGCACTGTGACCTCCTCACTGACATTGACATACTTTCCTGCATAGACTCCAGGGCACCCCTGGGGTTTTCTCTTACCTTTTCCTTACCCTGAGCATCTCAGGTAGTGGGAAGCCTATCACTTGGGTTTCTTTCTTTTTTCTTTCTTTTCCTTTTTTTTTTTTTTTTTTTTTTTTTTTCTGAGACAAGGTTTCTCTCTGTAACACCCCTGGCTGTCCTGTAACTCATTCTGTACACCAGGCTGGCCTTGAACTCATAGAGATCCTCCTGTTTCTGCCTCCCAAGGGCTGGGATTATAGGTGTGTGCCACCAGCACCCGGCTTCACTTGAGTTTCTGTATTGTCTCCTCACCTACAGCTGAACCATTTGTGAATGCTATTTTACTTCTCCATCCCTCATATCCTCACCAGTAATGCAAGCTGTCCGCAATCCATTAGCTGGCATTTTTACTGAGGATTCTTCAGTAATCCTGTGGTGAGCTGTTTCCATCTGTTAGGATGTGGCTGGCAAGTTTCTAAAGGGTTAATATCCTCCTGTTTAACTATAAAGATGTTTGCTTTTGCTCATGCAGCTACATGCTATATGGCACCTGTATTATAATAACTTTCTGAAATATAAACAAATATTCTAAATCCAAAACAGATTTGGACCACAGATTTGGGGTGAGAAATGAGGCTTGGAGCCCCTCCCTCTCATAGCCATGGATAAGATAAGATACAGCCCAAATGAAGAGCAGGCATGTCACAGAATCATGGCAGTGAGCAGGCCATCCTTACTCCCTGTCTCTCCTGGTGGTGGATCATGAATGGCCAAAGCCACTCAGTCGTGGTGTTTATGGAGATCCCAACTCAGCTGCCTGTTCCTCCTTAGCACTCGAGATTTGCTAACTTGAAAAGAAAAAATCCAATAGAGTCAGGTGGATGATGCCCCTCTCATCAGCGATTTGCTGAAGAAATGGGATCTCCTGCTACTAACCAATGAGACAATGACATGGGAGTGCTGCAGAGACACAAAATCCACCTTGGAACTTTTCCTTGGGTCAGACTTCAGGATCTTTAAGCATTTCCAGAAACAATTCAGGGGCAATTGGTAGCCTGGGTTGGAATAAGGAGAGCTAATTTTGTAGTGCTCTGGCCTGATGGAAATGACTAGGCACTACAACTCTGCTCCAAAGCAGCCCAGGACATACAGTGAGGAAGTCATTAGTCACCATTCCCAAGGAGACACTTCATCCATGACTTACTAATAAAAATTGATGAATACCCAGCAAGTCTTGAACCCTTTCTCTTGAACAACCAGCAAGTGTGAGCAAAATGTCAAACACCTTCCAGAAAACGTAGGAAATTCCACAGCAACCACCATTCATTGTGCTGCTCAGGGTTCAGATATCACAAGGGAAGGAAACCTCACTTCCCAAAACAATTACCAAAGAAGTCTGCAGCAATGCCCATAAGAGGAAGATGGGTCCAAGCCACCTCCTTCTCACCAGCCATGAAAGTCTCACCTGAGCACACTAAAGAACTGAGCCATCTTGGTAGGAGACAGGACCCTGGCACCCATTGTGCCACTGGTTCTCAAAGTGTGCCCCACTCACCACTAGAGGTCTTCAGACCGTTTAGGGAATTCAAAACTAATCTTAGAGTGGCGCGTGTCCTCCATGGTCCATATGCTGTGAGCTTGGTGGTGTTAAGGGGAAATGGTAGGGCCCAGAGGAAGATAACTGGATCAGAGAGGCAACACCCTTCGAAGCGATCAGTACTGGTCTCCTGGAACTGGATAAATTTCTACAAGAACGAATTGCTATAAAAGAACCAGGTATCTCCCCTGAATTCTGGTTTCATACACACAGCCTGTCTCTCCCACATGCACGCCTGCCATGATGGCACCTGCCTTGCTATGATGTAGAACAAGGGGTCTTCACCAAGTCTGAGCAGACAAAAGCCTTAAGACTCTCAGACCCCACAACTATGACCTAAATAAACTTCTGTGAATTTACCCATCCTCAGATACCTTGTTAGAGTGACAGGCAACTGACTGAGACAGTAGAAAGATGACCCAATTTGCTTTTTCAAAGTGCGACTTTGTGTGCACAGTGTTAGCAGGAAAACTGTTGGCCTTGCACACCTTGTACAACCTCACCCTTGTTCTGGGTGTTCTTCACTGCCTCACACTTGCAATAAAAATGAACAAATATAAAACTGATTTAACTTAACAACAGCCCCACTGAAGCTTTTATTAGTAAGCATCATTAGCCTCGTTCCCTCTGGACTGCACAGCACACATCTTTTCAGTATTCCATGCAACCAAATGGGAGGTACATTCACTCCCTCTGCTGAGCAAGGATAGTGTCTACAGCTTGTGCAACCGTCCAACTGTGAGTGAAGTGAACGTGCTGTTATTTGGGAGGAACCATTGGCAGACTGATGATAGTGATTCTGACTTGGAATTTGACAGGCATTTCTTGAAAATAAACTGAGCTTGTCACACCAAGGAAAACAAATGGTGTACTGTTTTCAGTGAAGAAACGCAGGCTGCAGGGTAAACATCAGAACTTTTGGGAATCCTGCATCAGCCACCAAAAGCTTGAGGGTTTGGAGGGACTTAAATGTTTCCTACAATCCTTGGTGGTCATATCAAGGTGTGTGTGTGTGTCTGTGTGTGTGTGTGTGTTTTCATATATGAGATGTGTCCCTGTTTAGAAGATCCTATATTAATCATACAGGAATAAAAGATTCAACATGAATGACAATCTGTGGGAACTGATAAAGTACAAAAAGCACATTTATGTAGTTTAAGGTCCCACGTTAAGGGGTGTAATTATAGCTTGGCATATCATATATAGCTTTGTACATAGCTTGATTTGATAGTGTACTTGCCTAGCATAGGTGAAGCCTAGGCTTGATTCCCAGTGCCACATATACCATGTGTACTGACACACACTTACAATCCCAGCAACTGGAAGATGGATGCAGGAAGGTCAGAAGTTCAAGATCATTCTCAGCTATATAGCAAGTTTGAGACCAGCTTGGTCTACAAGAGACCCTACCTAGGGGGTGAGGAGAAAAGATTCCACTTTAAAAACTAGATTTATCTAGTTTCTGGTGGTATCAAAGAATGGCCCTGGTATTCTGGAAAAGGTATTAAAATTCTTTTTCCTTTCTAACTTCTGTTTAAGACCAAATTTTGTCCACATACTTTAATAAAAACATTGTATTGCAAAAGGCTACATTTGGAAGCAAAAATGGTATCTATATTATCTTCGATCAGGCCAGACATTAAAGAGATTTGCAAAAACATGTACAAAGCAGTTACTCATCTTATCAACTATCTGTTTTGGAAAATACTGTTTTATACCAAAATATATTGTATAATAGGAACAGTTTATTGGTATTGTTTTACCCATTATGAAACAAATTATTTTAATTTCTTAGTTTAAATTTTTTAATTTATTTTTAATGGTACGTGTGAGAGAGTGTGTGTGTGAGTGGGGGTGAATATGACTTGTGCACAAAAAAAGTACAGCCTTGCCCTTAGAAGCCAGAAGATAGAGTCAGATCCCTGGAGCTGAAGTTACAGGAAGTGATGATGGGTTCTAGGAACTGAACCCAGGTCCTACAGAGGAGCAGCAAGCACATTTAAGCACTAGCTATCTCTTCATAGAGCAAATATCAATAGATATAGTCCCCCTGAACAAGAGCAATAGGGATCCTCAGTGTTAAAAGCACAATGGAAGCCTAAACTCTGAGCTAGATAGACTCCCTTCTGCCATGTCCCCAGCAGGAGGAGGCACAACTTGTTTCCCACTGAGGCCACTCTATGTGTGAGTACAGTCCTCATACCAACTTCCAACCAGGGTGCAGTAGTGTTTCCCATAGCCCTCAGGGACTCTGTACCACTCCACCCTGCAAAGGCCCATGAAAGAACACCATGTGCCACACACAAATGTGAAAGCCCTCAGGGGCCTCAGATTAAACCTAAGATGGCTAATAGAGCTCCTCTGATTATTCTAGCCACTGCATTATTCTACTGGCAGTAACTATTCAAGGTACCCAGAGTAATGTGACTGCAGAAAAGAGCACTGACCCTAACTAGCGAAGTGGGCCAGAGCAAGGCATCATGGGAGGGCACCAAAGTCTTAGCCACATATCTTCCACCCTGGAATTTGGCTATTCCTCCTTCCACATTTGAAAATATCTCTTACATTCTGCCAACAACAATTAGCTCTATAAGTTAAACACCTCCCAAGACTACGTTTTCTCCCAACTTCTCTGACCATGCTAGCCACTTTCCTCTGGACAGGGCCTAGTTTATAAATTTCCTTCTTTGACAAGAAGCCTTGAAGGGTGGAACATAGCACCAAGGTGTGGCTTGGCAGGGAGAGTACCTCTCCTCTTTGTTTCTACCCCACAAGAGATAAAAGATTAGTACCAGCATCAAGACACTCATCCAGACACAGACACATAGCTAAGTGAGAGAGGAGATGGCATTCCACAGACAACCACTGCAGGTTTGCCTGGCCCCCTTGTGTTACTACTATGGGATGTGATGTTGCTATTTTCCCATTTGGTGTTCGGCAAACTCCTTTCATACTGTCCTCTCATTTGGTATATCCTTCTACCTAATGAGACCAAATCATGATCCCTCTCAAAGGAAACCATCAAACAACAAGTGAAATTTTTACACTTTTTCTGAAAGAAAAACAAATGAAACAGAATAAATGATGGCTTAAAAACCAAGGTTTCTACTCCCCTTTAACCACTGTGGTAAAGAACAATATTCTCTACACTAGGAGACATCCCCTGCTCTCTGCAAAGCCAAAGCCATGAGTGTGTGTCTTTACTTGTAATAAGGAGAGATAAAATCAAAGTATCCACTTCACTAACTTGGGTAAACTGAGGGCAAGGAGGCAATGAAGCCTGCTGGGGATCCATGGCATCACTGAAAGAAGAGCCAAGGAGAAAACAGGAAGACATTCTTCCTGTCCCCATATGTATCCCCTTTCTCAGCCAGCAGTGCCTGAAGCCCACCGCTCACTCCCCAGTCTACAGGAAACGGAAGGAGCAGCAGGCCCACCTGTGGGGAGCTGGCGACAGGCCCAGCCATCATGCCTCGGACGATCAGGCCAGACTTTGGCCTAGTCCTCTCCACTGGCCTCTTCACATCTATGCAAGGCTCTGATGAGTGAAGCTGGTCCACCTTTTCCCATGCAGGAACCAAAGGCAAGCTGTCACCCAGGACTATGTGTGCGGGCTTACATCTGTGTGGGGTCTTTTTGGAGGATACAAAATTACCAAGCATGTCACCATCGAGATTGTCGTGCCTGCAGAAATATAATGCTTCCATTAAAACAGAGCCTCCAAATGAATGATAATTAGAAACCCAAAGTTAACTGTCATTTATAAACACGTATTGGAAATGAGCCAAGGCTCATTCATGTCAGAGAGGTAAGGAATAGAAAGCACTTTGTTGGCAACAAGACAAATGCATCAAAGTCAGATGACGGTCCACAAGGGATTGGCAGTCCTAGTGGCTGAAGGCTAAAGAGTGCCTTGAATCTTGTACATCAGGTGATAAAGGAGGGAACATGTAGAACGTGGCCTTGCTGTACATGGAGTGCACACCTGGGGAAAACTTGACATTCCTGGTTATTCAGTAAAGCTATGTGTGCACAAGGGAGGAAGGAAGGAAAGGAAGGGGGAAAAAGTGAGAAGCAATGAAACGGAGCAAAAAGTGCTCTTTTTCTGTGGTGCCTCCCAGGTGGCCGGCCATGTCAAGATGGAACTGTGTATTCTCCTTCCAACCACTGGCCATAAGAAATCAATCGAGGTTGACAATGAACACAAACTGCATACTTTCTATGAGAAGCACGTAGCCACAGACATTGCTGTTGATGCTCTGCATCAAGAGTGGAATGGTTATGTCATCGTCAGTGGGAATAACAAACAGGGGTTTCCTGTGAAGCAAGGTGTCCTGACCCACAGAAGAATAATGTGGCTGCTGCTGAGAAAATGTATTCTTGCTGTTGACCAAGAAACGGAGAGGAAGTGCAAGTGTGTTTGGGGACGAATGTTGATGCCAAGCTGAGTTCTCAACTTGTTTTTCATTGAGGGAGACGGAGAGGGAATATTCCTGGACTAGCTCATACTACTGTGCCTCAGTGGTGGGGGTCCCAAAGAACCAGCCAAATCCTTTTCAATCTCTCTAGAGAGGATGGTGTCCACTGATATGCTGTCACTGAGGACCAAAGCACTCAAGATTCAGCACTCCACATGTCCTGCACACAGTTGCAGTTACTCCACACATCCTGTAACATAGATGCCAACGCACTGCTCTTAAGACACAGGGTACTAAGAAAAGTAAAGGGGAGGCTGAAGAATGTGCTAAGCTTGTGACCAAGAGAATGAAGGAAGCCAGATAAAAAGGCCAGAAACAGATTGCTGGGAGATTTAGGCTATCCTCACTGAGAGTGTGTACTCTGAAGTCTGAGTTCAGTCTTTAAGAGTAACAAAGGAGTGACCAGACCTGAATCTCAAAAGAAAAGAAAAGAGAGGAGAAGAGAAGAGAAGAGAAGAGAAGAGAAGAGAAGAGAAGAGAAGAGAAAAGAAAAGAAAAGAAAAGAAAAGAAAAGAAAAGAAAAGAAAAGAAAAGAAAAGTAGGACGTAAGGAAGAACAGGGCCCAAGTTTGCCGAGGCTGGTGGGCATAGTGAAGAGGCAGAGGCAGAGGCAGAGGCGGGCACCTGGCTTTGCTTGCTTCTGACCATGACGTGCGTCTTCCCATGTCTTCATCTGAAAGGTCGTATATATCCACCAGTGTGGCCTCTGAGCATCTCACAGGCAATCTGTTGTTTTTCTTTGGAACATGAAGTGCAGGAATTGGGGTTTCTTGACTTACATTGTTGTCTGTATTTCCTGTATGATCCAGAAAGTATCTGGTGATGAGCTCAAGGTTTGTTTTTAGAGGCTTTTCCTTTGCCTAACATTGGGAAGGGAAAAAAAATATCATTAATTGAATGTACAGCGTTTGGGGAGGGTGGAAAGATGGCTATCCCAATGTTGACACATTTACCAGCTTTTTATTCACACTACACACTCCCAGCACACATGTACTCACTTAGCCCATGTGCCAGGCACTGTAGGGATTCAGAGACAAAAAAAAAAAAATCTCCACTCTGAAAGAACTAACATTGAGCTGTCCAAGCTAATCTCCTTTTGCATCCTTTCCCTTCATGAACAACTGTAAGAGAAAACCCCTTTCATTTAAAATGCAGTTTTAATTTAATTTTGCATTACACTCATTTATTGAGTGGGGAGAGGCTGCCGCCACATGTGGCAATTAAAAGACAATTTGCAGTTGTCTCCTTCTATCATCTTTCTGGCCCCTATAGATTCAAGATACATTTGAGGCTTGAACATTTTACTAGTGGATGTTGTGGTTTGAATCTGGGATGTCCCCCTCGGGCTCAATGTTCTTGATATTTGGTCACTAGCTCATGGCATTATTTTAAAGTCTGTGGAGCCTTCAGGAGATGGGACCTGGCTGGCTGAAATAGATTGTAAGGGGCAGGATTTTGAAGGTTATACTTACCAGCCTCATGTTTCTGGTATACATCATGTTAATAAGCCACCTCACACCCCAGCCACAATGGACTAAAGAACCTAAAATCATAACCTCAAATATACTTTTTCACTCTTTACATTGTTTCTGTCAGGTTATTTTGTCATAGCAAAGACAAAAGTAAATAACTCAATAGATGATATTTCTTTAACAGTGACCACTAGTGATTGCAGAGACTGAAGCAGGAGATTTTAATGAAAAGCATAGTGTTAGCTAGGACTGACTAAGGTTATATTCCAACCATTAAAAAAAAATTAAAAAAAAAATTTAAACACAAGTGAAGAAACTCTTGAAGCAGTAATTTTTAAAATAAATGGTATCAGTATTTTCCAGCATTGCCTACACTAAGTATTTTCTTTACATGGTTTTTGGATTTCTTGTTTTTAAATCATGACCAGCTGAGAATTACTAAACCCAAATAGCAAGAATTCGAGCTCTGATTTCTCCTAAACCTCTCCCCTCAAATAATCTAAGCAGACACCCAGTTGTCCAGGCAGCTACCCACAGCCTGGCTTCAGGCATCTGGCCATGTGTCATTTGGGATCTGGGAGATCTGCCCTGCTGAGCTGTGGCCAGACATGGGCTTGCGTGCAGTGCTTGCCAAGTCCAAGTGGCCAAGTGTCTGATGAAGGGCCTGGTGTGGAGCCCTCAGCATGGGCCAAGGCCTTCCCTTGCTGTTCCTCTCCAGCCAAGATCCATGGCCAGTGGACAACACTAAGTTCAACAGCCTTGTCAGATAATTAAAATCAGGAGTAATGTGTTTATTTACTCAGTTTTTATAAAACCAAAAAAACCTACTTTTTTCCTAGTCTAAATTAAGATTACAATGAAGCGAGTTGAAGAAAACATAAATTTATTTCAAATGTCTTGCCTTTTCTCTCAGTGAGGTGCTCTGGGGTCTTGGGTTGCCCACAATACACCTTGGTGAGTTTTATATCACTAAGCTCAGAGTGAACACACAGCCTTGAGGTGAAGCTAATACCATTTCCCCAAACCTCAGTCTTAACAAGTGTTCTAATCTATCAGATAACCATCAGAAAAAGCAAGTCACTGGGAATATTACAGAGAACTGCAGAGCTTCTGTGTGGTCATATGGGCTTTTGGTGAACTCAGAACTTCCTGCAACAGATGGCTAAAAGTATGTGTTGTTTTAAAACACAGGCTCAAATTCATCCTATCATGGCTAATAACTACTGCTTACGTCAAATAGTCAGGGATTTACTCAGGTCTAATGATACACTAATTTTTAAGATAATAATTATTTTTTGAGAAACTATGCTGTAGTGAAAAAATAAAAATGACCTAAATGATAAGATACTTCTGAGAATTTGGGTAAAGGTGGTCTTATATAAAATCTCAGGGGACCAGTATAGTTCTTTGGATGTTCTGAGTAAAGGTCCCAGTGTCTGCTAAACATCTCCCTAACACAAGCAGCCTGTGCCCTTGCCTCCAAACCCAGCAACCAAAGGACACAGTGCTGCTGAGCCAAAGCATCCCAGATCCAAGACTGCACACGTGATATATGGAGGACAAGAAGACAAAGATCCTATAGGATGGATGCCTCAGCCTCTGGTATGACCTCAGTCAGCTGCAAGGGCCTACCCTCCCCAAAGAGTTCACAAGGACTCCTGCAGGCGGAGATGTGTAAGCTGAGGGCCATTTGGGTTTTGCAGACCTAACTAGAACACTTGTGCTTACACAGGGCAGGCTGGCCTGGGGTCCTCTTTGCTGACCCATACACTGTGGGCTGGTTGTCAAGGCGTGTGGAGATTTCTCTGGGTATTTCAAAAAGTCTTGTTCTCATTCCCACATGTCCATTCAATCAGTTAGGATTTCATTTTATTTTATCTATTTTCATGTGTGGGAGGGGGTGGGGGCACACACAAGCAAGCACGCACATGTGTACACAGCTGTTCAACGGCACGCAGACGCCAGATGCCTTCCTTTATCATTCTCTGCCTTATTGCCTTTAGCCAAGGTCTTTCAGAGCACAGGAAGATGGCTGGCCAGCAAATTCCTAGAATTTGCTTGTCTCTGTCCCTAGTTCTGGTGTAACAGGAATGCATAGCCATGCCAGCTTTCTCTGTGGTTGCTGGAGATTCACACTCTTACCACCAAGACCTCTCCCCAGCCCCGAGACTTCTCTTGAAAATCAATCTCTATCCCCTCAGTGCTGAGCCTGGAATCATACTTGTAAACTCAGCACTCAGGCTGAAACAGAAATGCCACAGTTTGAGGCTAGTCTAAGAAACATAATGAATTTTAGCCAGCCTTGACTACATAAGAAGACTGTATCTCAAGAAATAAAAAAGAAAAAGAAATCTCTACCCTTGCCCATAAGTGAATACCAGGTGTCAAATAGCCACTTTGGCTCACAGATCTCCCTAGGGGCAAACTCCCATCACACCAGTGGTTTGATGGCTTTTATACTGCACACGGAGAAGCTGGTCCAGAAGGCCAAAACAGAACATTCTTTACTTTCCTCACTACAGCATGGCTTCCCTTATGTCTCACATATCAAACTTCTGCATGAAATGTCATTCGTTTTTTAAACTATGACAAGCACAGGATATGAGCCTAATCACCGGTTTCTCTCCTACTCTTACATCACACCCAACATGAGGCATTATTTTCTGGAGAGGACTCTTTTTTTCCTAACAGAAAGAAAAATTAAGTCAGGATGATAGCTTTTAACGGTTCATGTATTCGCTCTTCTAGCCTCTCAATCACTTACTCCAAGGATACATATGGATTATCCAAAAAAGTCATTAGATAAGTCATTAAACATGAGGACACATAGTGAAAATGTCACACAGTCTGCCCATCTACTAAGTCCATGGGCATGAGGGAGGCAGGCACTGGTGAAACAAATAATAACCAATGGTTCAGCTCTTAGATCTCTTCTGTTGATTATTTCTTGCACCATACTCAACACTACAATTTCAAAAGCTGGCAGTATGAATTTCTGCAAATTATTTTCTACATTTCAGATTTTATAAATCCTGCTTGGCAAAACATGCTAAAAGCATTTCATGGCACTCAAGAAGAATTTTGCAGTTTGCTTTTAAAACTTTGCTTCTTAAGCCTCCTTTTACTTTGCTGTGAAATGTTTATATTTAGCAAATAAAAGATTTAAAAAAAATGTTCTACTTCAAATACAAGACCATGAAAGCAGCAGGTGGGGTGAGTCTAGGGCCAGGGGACCATCCATATCTCAAGAAAACCTGTTCCCTTGGCTTTCTCAACTCCACCACCCCTGGATGTGCTAAACCCAGCTTCCACCTCTGCTAACCTACATTCAAAAAAGACTCACAGCCACAGAAAGGAAATCTTACACAGACGGGGGATGGACAACATTAGTATAATACATATATATATTCTATTATATTATACCTACATTTACATTATAGATGATACAATATGTAATATATATCATACTGCATAATATATACGTAAGCAATCTTACTAAAAATACCAAAAGGGAAGCACAGAGAACAATTACCAGAGACTACGCATGACAGGCCCAGTTCAAGTAAGACAAAGTGACCTCAGACATGCCAGAGGACACTCAGGGCTGGTGGGCTGAACCGAGTTCGCTCTGAAATTTGTCGTCTTGGTCAGTCCCTAAACCTCCTGCCACAGCTGCCAGGCCCTGGCAAGAGGGCACCACCAGACTCACACTCAAAGGGCACGCACCTTGTTTTCCCTGTAGAGAAACTCCAGATGTAGAACCTTACGGAGATCGTTTCTGCTGTTGATGCTGAGATCACAGCGGGGGCGCTCCTGGTCCATGGTCACAAACGTCTTCTTCAAGCCCTGAGGGAGGACGTCTGAGTCACTGTTTGCCATTTTAAATGAAAACCTTCCCTTCTCTGACGCAGTGTCAACAGAGGACTACTGGGACTCATTAGGACTGGGCTCATCTGCCTTCCTTATCAGCCATGGCAGGGGCCCAAAGCTGACTTCAGAATTCATTTTCTTCTAACTGTTGGGCTTGACAGCATTGTCAGTTTGGTTTGGGGTCAGCTAAAGCTGGAGCTGTGGACTCATTTTTATCTATTTTATAGATAACAATGAAATTCCGGTAACTAGCTTGCTGAAAGACAACTCAGGGGCTCTGTGTTTGGCCTAGACTTGGGGCTATGAAAGATGAACCTTTAAAAAGAAGTGGAATTTTAAAACAAAGCAAAACATACACACACAGTCAAAAAGCCAACCATTGTTCCAGGAGGCATGTTTGAAGTCACATGTCAGAGATCCACATCAGTCTAGACGGGGAAACCTGGTTGAGACACAATCCCCTACCGGGCACCTCATGACTGTCCGCCAGCAAACCACTAGCCAGCCCACCCTATACGCCCAAAGACGACAGTAACCAGGGAAAGTCCTGCACCGTCCAGGGGCTTGGCCTCCTCAACCACAACAGCTACTTCCTCCCCATCAGAGGACACAGTGACCACCAAATGCCTGCAGATGTCTCAACCCCTTCCGCCTGGGTCCCGGGCAGCCCTTGTTCATGATGGACCCCAGACCCAAGTACTATCTAGGTAGGCCTTAACTTTCCCCTCAGCCTCTGTGCTCAGAAATTGATAGTGACTCCAACTGCTGGAAAACAAGACCAAACTCATTACCTGCCATGAGTTTTGATGACACAGTGAATTTGGAAAAGATACGCATGTAGTGTTAAACCAGAGAGAGTGAATGGAGCCTTAAGGATATGAGAGAAACAAATGTGCATATGCATGTGTATGTGTGTGTGTACGTGTGTGTCTTGGAGAAAAGGTGATGGCTGGGTGAAAGAGGAAGATTCAGAAGCAATCACTACACTCTACATCCTTAATTGTCATGATTTTCACCAACCAACATATATGGAGAATTCAGTAAAGAGGCTCCTTCTCTGACTGCCCACTTCACATTTGATTAGCTTCAATCATCAACCAAGTCTTGGTGCATCTAACATACAAGTACACACACATGTGCACACACAATACAGTCCATCCAACATACAAGTACACATACACACACACAGAGAGAGAGAGAGAGAGAGAGAGAGAGAGAGAGAGAGAGAGAGAAAAGACATACTCTGCATGATAAGCTGTGAAGCATTTCATCACCCAGAAACCAGTGAGGGTAAAATACAGACATCCTGCGGTGGTAAATGGTCCCTCAACCCCATTCTTTGCACTCAGCTGACATTGTCCTGCACCCACAGTGTGCCAGGCTCTATTCTTGGCACAGGAGGTAATGAAGGAAGGAAGGTTAACATGCTAGGGAAGCGGACCATCATGACTGCACAGCCTGTCCATTGCAAAACCGTACACCATAACACAAAGCCCGGCGAAGATGAAGACAGGGCATGAATTTAATAGGCAGCTATTTATCGAGCATTAATCATGTGCTCATCCTTGGCTTCTGCTTTCCTCATCTGTCCACTGGCCCAGGCACTGGTCAGAGGAGTTAACAAACTCCAGCTTCCATACTGTGGAAGAGAAGATGACCAGTCTACTGTGTGATATAAAGAAGAGGGATACAGATAAATACACAGAGAGGGACAGGTGAGATCTGGGGGGAAGGCTGTTACAGATGGTAGTGAGGAAATGATTCCTGGTTACATGACAATGGAAAAGGGACACTGAGAGAGTGAGAGAGCAGGCCCTGGGGGCACCTGGGGGCACAGTGCTCCACACAAAGGACAGCAAATACAAAAGTCCTTTGGCAACTTCAAGAGCAAAAGAGCTTCAGGGGAAAGTGACCAGAAATACAGACAGAAAGGTCACCCAGGGGCTGAGGAGATGGCAAGTGAGTCAAGTATGGAGACTGTGGTTTTGCTCCCCAGCATGCACAGAAATCCTGGGTGGGTGTGAGGCCCTCTGCAATCCCAGAGTTTGGGAGGCAGAGATGGGTGATTCTCCAGACAAGTTAGATAATTAAACTAGCCAAATTGGTAAGCTCTGCATTCAGGTGAGAGACCAGACTCAACAAGCAATGCTGGAGGAAGATATTTCATATCAACCTTGAACCTCCACACACCTGTGCACACATGCTGGCAAACACATAGAAACACCAACACACACTTGTGAACACACAGACACAAATGCACACACACCACACACACACACAATCATACCTATGGGGAAAATAAATAGGGCACCCAGAACCTGAGGATTCACGTTACAGAGAAAGTTAAACAGAGGATGTCAGACTGAAGAACTTGGCTGCTAGAGTGAAAACAGATGTAGGGACAATCGCCTTACTGTTTAGAAGGCGATTTGGTGAGTCACAGTCTACATGGAAGCTAGGAGTGGCTTGAAGCAGGGCATCAAACACAGACGTCCTAAGAGGTGCTTCTCTTCTCTCTGTGATCTGATGATAAAAGCTGACAGATGGGAGGATAACAAAGGGGAAATGAGCCCGTAAACTGTAGGGCTTATACTAACTCTGAGCAGCGGCAGAAGTGTGGGACATTCAAGAGGTGGAGACCTGTCTATGCAAGAGAGGAAACACATGCATTTGATGTCAGAGATGTGACTAGAAACACTAACAAGAACATGCTGAGATGTGAAAGAGAAGTTAGTGGTGATGTCATAGCAGTTTCAAAAAGTCAGGGAGCTCAGGCAGAGGTCAGCTAGAGAAGATATTCTGGAGCTGCCATGTTATAGATGGCACTAGAACCCATAAAGCAGCCTGAGATGCCCCAAGAATGGGCAGGGAGAAGAAAGAAGACCAGAGCCTTTGAGCCAGGAGTACCCACTGTTGGGGAAAAGAGAAGCACCCAGCACAGGGCTGGAGGGAAAGCCACCACAGAAGGAGGAGAAGTGGCCAGAACAGGCGGTGGAAGCCAGATGTAGGACGTCATCCACAGTGCAGACACTTCAGACTCAGAAGGATGAGGAGGGCAAGTTAAAAGTCAACAAGAGTGGGGACATGAGCCTGACTGCGATGTGTAAAAAAAACTGAGGATAGAGTGAGGATTACAGTATACACAGCTCTTTCATGGGGTTTTGCTGCAACAGGGAGAAGACACTGGATGGAGCTGATCGGGAACCCCAGCTGAGGTCCCATAGTATGAAGAAATGCTGAAAGGATGTCCCATTAGAGAAAGGGCCACCGTGTATAGTAGGGATGCTGAGGGCCGTGCCCTGGAGCATGAAGACACAGGGAAGGAGGGGCTCAGGCCTAGAGGGTTAGTGGGGTGGAAGTTTCTCTCCTCATTTTTCCTGACTCGGTCCTCTAAGGGAAAACGTGCAGGAAGCAGGAGGTGTGTGGAATGGTCAGGCAGCACTTGAGAAGGAATCTGGATACAGAGTGGGCCCACACCTGGGAAGTACCATCTGGTAAGTGGCCGTGGATTTAAGGAGAAGCCACTGACACGTATCTCTGTATAATCCTGTTCAGCACAGTGGTGTGGGCATGGAGCAGGCCACATTGAATTTCCCCCACATCAGGGTGAGTATAACAAAAGGTGGGAAGTTAAGAGAATCCAGCATATTGCAGAGCGTGGACTTATAATGAAGTGAAGGAAAGAGACAAGAAGGTCTTACATTAAGGCCAGGACTGTGAGACATTGGTGGAGACAATGGACTGAAACTGTGTAACGGTTTGGGGCTGAGAAGGAAAATAATCTAGAATTGAGGACAGCTGGAACACTGAAACCAAGATGATGCAAAGTGAGGACAGGCCTATGACCACAGCAAAAAGTAGACAGATGGAGGCCCTGTCACTGCAGGAGAGAAGCCAAAGACTCAGGGTTATGGGGCACCAGAAAAGTCACTCCTGTGGACCCTGACATGGCCAGGAGACATCATGAGTCTCCTGAGGGCAGATCTCATGCCAGAGGATAGAGTTTGGGTAATGCCAAAGGGAAGTTAGATCTGAGGGCTAGCGGGGTCACATATAGCCTTCTCGAAGGGTTTTAGGGGCAGACTCAGGGCAAGGAGGTGACACCATCTGGCCTGCTCACCCTAGGTGAGTCTCTTTACCTACATAAAAAGGAAGAGTTTAAGTATACTTATCTTCAAGGATGTTTAGAAACATTTGAGAAAATCTATTACCATCTAGGAGGTACATGGGCACAGGGTAGGAACTGGGTGAGCAAACCACAAGGTCTCTGTCTCAGAGCAGAAGCGATGAGAAAATTAATTTCAACTGGACATGGTGGCGTGCACCTTTAATTCCAGGTACAGAAGTTAAACAGGAGAATCAAAAAGAGTTTAAAGACAGCCTGAGCTACATAGAGAGCTTGAAGAGAACATGGACAATGTAAACATGCCCTTGTCTCAGAACCACCCCAACCATCAACACTGAAAACATAAGCAGTTGCCCTAGCCTATTGTTCTGGGTCTCTGTGACTTTGTGAGTGTCTTAGTTTGGGTTTCTATTACTGTGATGAAACACTTTATGACTAAAGCAACTTGAGGAGGAAAAGGTTTATTTGACTTACACTTCCATATCACTGTTCATTACTGAAGGAAGTGAGAACAGGAACTCAAACAGGGCAAGAGCATGGAGGCAGGAGCTGATGTAGAGGCCATGGAAGAAAATGCTACTTACTGGCTTGCTCTTCGTGGCTTGTTCAGACCGCTTTTTTTATAGAACCCAGGCCACCAGCCCAGGGATGGCACCATCCATAATGGGCTGGGCCCCCTCCCCATCAATCATTAATTAAGAAAATGTCCTAGAGGCTTAACTACAGCTCAGTCTTATGGAGACACTGTTTTAACTGAGGATCCCTCCACTCAGATGGCTTTAACTTACATCAAATTGACATAAAACTATAAAAGATGTCTCTTTTATACTTTTATATATAAAACATGGGAGGAAAAGGAGGCCAGACAGGTAGATGGTTTCTGAGGTGCTACCCGGGTGGGCGGTCAGCTTGGTGGCCCTGTCTAGGAGGTGAGACAGCAGATGTGACAGCTGTAAATAAGTACCAATGAGCCAACAGTCAAGGTTAGTCCAAGGCCTGGCCTGATTAGTTCTGATGATGGGAGTGATCGGAAGAGCTTGGGAACAAACAGGCATTGTCAAGCAGCAGAATACATCAAGGGAAACATGAAGGAAAAGCTAGAAGCAAGTGGAGTGTAAGCTGGGGCCAAGCTGTGAGGCCCCAGGATGTCAGTGGGGGCTCCGGATTGCTCTCAAGAAAGGAAGGCTCCTCTGACACTTCTGAACCTAGTGGCCAGACTTAAACAGCAGCAGTGACTACCTCCGAGCACATGACACTGATAATCCAACTTGCATCCAGAACTCGACAAGGGAAAGTCAACGCACAGGGAATGAAGCCAGGGGCATTGCAACTTTTCCAACTAAGAATAAATTATAAAAAGCACGCAGGGGTTTCAGAACAGGTACAGTCAGCTGTATAAAGCAGCACAGCAAGGATAAAGTTAAAAGACCTTTGTGCATGTTGCATACGAGCATCAGATACAGTGCACGGGCAATCCTCCTTATAAAGAAGATACGAGTGGATCTTAAAAGTTCCCGTTTTAGAGGGAAGAGGAGGTGGCAACGTCAAACTCACAGTTCAAACTAGTACCATACCCAGACTTCCACCGTCTGACCTCAAGTCCTTTCCTTTTGTTCCGCTCAAACACAAACACGTGTGTGCATATGCGTGCGCATGTCTCCACCTCAAATTAGTGCCCCTTGGGCCAGCTCAATAATGACATCACATGGAAGCTCAGACCCATAGTGCAGAGTCCTCAGTCACTTCACGTAAAATACAAACCGACTCCCGGAGACCGTGCGGCTCCTTCCTCTCCTAGACCCCCAAGGGGGACCCAAGATCCTCCTAATTTGTAAATACTTTGAAAACTCTCCTGGGACAAGACAGTAAGAGAATTTATATAGTTCTCCTACAAAATTCACGCGGCAGCTAGAATTTCCACTCGTTTAAAATGATCAAAAGGACTGACTATCCAGAACTATACTTTGGGCAAGTTCTTTCCTAGAGACACGTCCTGTGCCCCTGGCTGGGAGAAGTTAGCTCTGCTCTGGACACCCTTGCCGATGTGGCATTGCCGTGACAATGGGTACCAGGGGAGGGCAGCTAAGAAAGGGTCGGCCTGGCTTTGTGGAAGTGCCCTCGCCACTAGGAAGGACTGGCTTCTGGGAAATGTAGTTTCCCTGTCCCGGGAAAGGGGCGCTCTTGTGGGAATCTCTGAGGCAAACAGAAGGTATGGAATGCTCCCCCACCCTCGAAGGTGCAAAGATACTGAGGGAAACCCCAAGTTGCCTCCCAACATTAGAGCGGCCTCCTGGGCTTCGGAATGTCCATTACCTTTCTGCTAAGAAACTCCCTGACCAGGGAGGCGGCCACCTCCTCCACGTACAGGCTGTCCATGCTGCTAGCGCTACCCACGAGGCCACGCGGCCGCCTGCAGCCCCAGGCCTGGTAATCCGTTGGGCCCAGTAAAGCGGCGTTGCCGTGGCGACAGTGGCCTCCGCGCCAGGAAGAACTCCTCCCCTTCCTGGGGAATCAGCGTTCTAGGAGGGCGGGAGGGAAGGGAGGAGCATCCTTCAAGCTGCTTTTCTTTACCAGAGGCTGAGCAGCAGCTGAGGGTGGGGCATAGCTTGTGAGTTCTGGACGCAGAAGTGACTCTGGCCTCTTATGGTGGATGTCACTGCTCCAATCAAAGGTTCCATTTCTCCGTACATAAAATAGGGAGCACACCTACCCAGTGATTCTTAAAGGTCTGAAGGTGCGGGGAAGTGCCTCCAACCATCCACCCTCAGGGCTACAGTTTTCTTCCAAGTTCACTGACACAGACCTTAGCAGCCTGGCCTCTGTATGGCGAGGAGGTCAAGACTCAAGTTCCTGACATGTAGAAACTGTAAGGGATGAAAGACTGGAGAAGCCCAGGTCTTTGCCGGTCTCTTAGGTAGAACATCAACTTTCTCCACTTCCGTACTTTGCCTGCTGTTTGGTTTTGCTGGGGCCGCCATAATAAAATGCCACAATCTGTGGCTTCAACAACAAAATTCCAGTTTTGCAGTCCTGTAGCCTCCAAGTTCATGAGCAAGGTGCTACCAGGGCTTTTACTGCTTGAAGCCCCTCTTGTTGCTTCCATCTTCTTTCTGTGTCTTTACAGAGCCTTCCTCTCAATGTGTCTGTGCGCTACTCTACTCTTCTTGAAAGAACACTGCCCACAAACAGTAAAGTGTCCACCATAATGACGTCCTTTCACCTTTACCTTATCTCCAGGTAAGTCACATTCTAGACAATACAAGGCATTAAGACTTCAACCTGGAAACTTTAGGGTCTCAAATCAGCACACATCTCCTAAAATATTACTTTGTGTATTATTTTCCCTAAACCAACATGTTTCTTATTTTTTCTTAGAAGTGTTCCCAGGCAGTAATGCCCAAAACATCTTAGGTTTATATGGTTATCAATAAATGTTAGAATAATATGGTTATTAATAAACATTTATATGGTTCTAATAAACATTAGAACATTAACGAAATCAGAAATATGGTTTTTTTATCTAAACAGTCTCTCAGCCAGTGGCATGGGCACTGTGCCTGAGAGGCTCCAAGCTTCACTTCAGAGTCCTGAGGACATCAATGTATCACTGTACTGGCACAGTTTGGCATCCTCGCCTTCTAACCCATCAAAGCTCTCTGCAAAGGCACTCCAAGCTCCCAGTGCTGTAAGACATTGCATGTTTATGGTGTGAAGATGGCAATCATGAGCCTTATCAGGGGACCTGCTATTTCAGATGTAAAGGCACACTAATAAATATCTTATAATTTAAAAACACAAGGCGGACTTACATATGCAGAGAGGAGCGTGCATATCAAAAATGCTGCTTGTCTTAGTTTTGTTTTCTGTTGCCATGACAAAATTCTGTGATCCAGAGTTCTAGGTTCCAGATTCACAGCTCACAAAATTCAAAGCAATCAGCACTCAAGGGAGTTGGTCATACCACAGCCATAAGCAAGAATAGAGCATAATGCATGCTCAGCTAACCTCACTTTTTTTAAGATTTATTTATTTTTATTCTGTGCATGGGTAATTTTGCTTGCATTTATGTATGTGTGCCACGTGCATGTGTGGTGCCCAGGGTCTCAGAAGAAGATGTTGGGTCTCCTGGACCTGAAATGATAGATGGTTGGGGGCCACCATGTAGGTGCTGGGACCTGAACCTGGATCCTCTACAAGAGCAACAAGTACTCTTAACCACTGATCCATCTATGCAGTCCCACATCTTCACTCTTACACAGTCCAGGATCCCCTGACTAGGGAACGAAACCACTTGCAGTGGGCAGGTCTTCCCCCAAAATTTTCCCTCATAGATAAGCTAATCGAGATAATCCTGGTGACTTTCTTCTTAGAAGAGTTGATAACTTAAAAAAAAATAACACTCACAGTGTTCTATAAAAAAAAAAAAAAAAATCAAAGACACTGGGTATGGTGACAGATGCCTTTGATCCCAGCACTCAAGAGGCAAAAGAGGCTCTTTTTGAGTTCCAGGCCAGCCAGCGCTACACAGTGAGACCCTGTCTCAAAAAACAAAAACAAATACATATAAATAAATAAATAAATAAATAAATAAATAAATAAATAAATAAATAAATATAGAGAAATAAATAAAGCTAACCCTCTGTGAGTTCCAGGCTAGCCAGGGCTACATAGTGAGACCTTGTAACAAAAAACAAACAAACAAATAAATAAATAAATAAATAAATAAATAAATAAATAAATAAAGATATCCCTCTGTGGCAGTCAAGATTAAGGTCGAATCCAGGTGTGATGTTTAATCATGTTTGTCAACTTGACTGCATCTGGAATAAACTGGAAAGGCAAGCCACTGAGAACTCCTTCTTGATTTTCTTGATTAAAAAAAAAAAATGAGCAAAGAAGATATTTTTACATCATAGATTTAAAGGATAGAAAACACGAAAATATAAGAGGGCTTTTGGTAGGCAGAGATTACCTTTTTTTAAGTTCTTCACAGGGTTGAGAAGCTAGCTCAGGCAGGTGAGTTGTTAACACGCAAGAATGAGAACCTGGGTTTGAGCCAGAGCACCATGTTTAAATAAATAAACATTAAACAAACAACAACGGAAGCATGTTTGCACACATTTGTGATACTGGCATGGGGAGATGCGGCAGTCAGGTCTCTGGGACTTGCTTACCAAGCAGCCTAGACTTATCAGTGAGCCCCAGATCCCTGTCACGTAAAATAAGGTGAACAGCTCATGAGAAACAACATCCAAGACCTCTGGTCTCTACAAGCACATGCGCACACAGGCAAGTGTTCAAATTCATTAGGTAGGATTATGTAATAATATTTCAGCAAAATCCAAAAGAAGAGAGCACATAAGCTGTGTAGAGGCTTCGAGGAAGAGTACTCCAAACAAAGGAACACCAGTGCAAAAGTCCCCAAGATGGCCTGAGTGCTTCTGAAATAGCAAAGGCCAGAGGGCAGAAAGAAAAGGAGGAAATGGAATATAATAGTCTGGGAAGAAACAAAGATATTATAAAGAGTGACACTGTGCCCCTCCCTTTGACTATCAGACTATTGAGACAATAAACTACAAGAAATTGGAATTTCCCCAGGAGTCTCATACTGGGGAAGGAAAAGGCTGGAGCCCTGGTACCAGACAGACAGGGAGAATATCTCCCAGCAAGAGATAGCACACAGTTCTGACAACTTGTTCATCCACCTTGCAGGAGAGACAACAATGAGTTAATGATGGGCAGAGCCAACCCTTGACCAGAACTGCTGCTGAGCTCTGCATAGCTCCAGCCCTTTATTTAAACTGAATCTCATATTGGGACCCTGAAGACAATGAACTCTCTTCTCACTCCTCAGGGAGTATCACTGGAGCTCTTCATTTGTTCCTGTTCCAAACATGCTGAATAAATCTTTTGCCACTTATTGAGAACAGATGATTGAGCCTAACCTAGCCTCTCACAACCTTAAAAACTATGCCCAGCTGCATCAGCCTGTGTCCATCAGTAGAACTTCTGTTCATAGTCGGAAGTGGGCAACACTTTGGAGAGTTTGGAGCAAAGGGGTGATGCAATCTAACTGGTTTTGACAGGTTCTTCTGACTCTTTTGTTGACAATGGGTTACAGTGGGACCAGTCTGGAAGCAGGAAGACTAAGAAAGAGTTATAACAGCAATCTGGGAAAACTTTAGGATGAATATAGCAAGAGTAAACAGAAAGAGAGAGAGAGAGAAGTTTCCCTATAAAGCATTCATATCTATAGTCAGCTGTGGTTCTGTCCAGGTGTGAGTCAGTGTGTTCCTATGTCCATGTGTCTCTAGTCCAGGAATGTATGGAGCCCCTCCTGGTGTCCTGTTTGGTTCTGGCCACAGGAAGCATCAGGTGTGTTGAGGCTTTAAACAAGGATGTGAGGCCTGCTGTACAGGGACAGGACTTTTGTGAAAGCATTGTCTCCTTCACAATGCTCTAGGAGGGACACTGGCTAAAAGGACCCTTCCAACTCAAGACTCTTGAGGATCGTGCACAAGTGGCTGTCTATCCAAGTCAGGGACAGGGAGGGAGTGGCTAAGAAGGCAAGCAAACACATTTTTCTCATCACCATGCCATGCCCAGTGCCAGGAGATAGACTAGGGAACTAATCAGGTCCACCAGCTGTTCCAGCTAAGTTAGCAGGACACTGTGAAAGTCCTGATTACTTGACTCCCAGAATTTCCCAGCTATTCGGTTACTCCCTCCCAAAAGTCAGTGGTTCCCTTCAGGCAACCACCCAGGCAGCAGAAGAAACAGCTCGCCCACATGCTCCCTCAAGGCCCTATCCTGGCAATCACCTCCCAATCTCTGTCCCTAAGCCAGATCCCTGTGGCCACCAACATGTAAAGCCCTAAAAGATGAAATATAGTCTTGAGTTCTACCCCTAGAAACCCACTTCCACACTCATAGGAGTCATGGTGACCAGCTGTCCAAGGGCCTGTGTGGGGCAGGATAGAAAGACATGGAAGTTTATAGAGACATGGGAAGGAAAAGGAGGCCCTTCTCCCAGGAGTCTTGTCGGAGTCTCTAGCCAGCTAAAAATCAAGGATTCTAACACAGTTAATGATTAAGGCCTTTCTCCTTTCCAATCTACAAGCCTACAATTTTCTAGTGATCCCATCAGAAACCCCTTTGACATTTCATGTCTCCACCGAGGCTCCCTAGAGCCTGTTCAGGTTCTGTGACATAGAGCTGGCATTCTTCTAGAGGTACTGTGCTGACCCTGCCTTTGTAAGCTGTTAGCAAATCTGGGGCCAGCTATTTTGAAGCACCACCCCTGTCTGAGAGTTTAGTTGTCCATCACCAAGGAAGGGAGTGCCCTCAACTGCCAGCTTACACAGTGGGGAAGGTCTTTTTTAGACTGAGATTACTTCCAGGACCAAGTCCCAAGCTACTGAGAAGGGA